GACTTCTTATGTAAGAATTTAATAAGAATCTAATAAGATTCTTATACGAGTGATAGCGGATTCTTATAAGTTCCTTATCAGATTCCTATCAGATTCTTTTGTAAGAATCGATCACTAGGGCAAGTAATAGTGAACCATTACAGACGTCAGTCGTGCCAACTAATTTAAACAGCGTACCAATATCAAATAATACTTTATTGTCAACTTCGCCATATTTGATCCCATTTGAAACTGACTGATCATTTACTTCAATGACAAATGCAATAGTTATATATATTCATTGTTAGCATTTTTTCGACTGAATATCTGTGCATCTTCTATTTTAGTATATGCCAGAAGAAAGCCAGATGCTGTTAGTATATGTCCGTTACTATTACGTTTGTACCGATCGATTTGAGTTTTATCAATTTTTATCATACAATGAAAATGTCTTGGTAAATCTTCTTTGAGTATAGATGTTTTCGTATTAACTTGATTTGATAGATCAATAATAAAAAATCGACAAAGAAATAATATGTTCAAGTCTTGTGTTTTTAATGCTTTTCGTATTATTTTAGATAAATATGAATTATTCATATACCGCATAAGAGATTCGTTAGGACTATAATATCTTGCAAACACTGCAAAACGAATTGCTTGTTGTTCGGTATACGGTTTGTAATATTCACTTAATGATTCAATTGATAGCGCTATAGTTTGTTTTGTGCATGGCATACGTTGCAGAACATAAAGAATTAACTGATACCAGAGGAATGTTGCTGATTCAGTTGACAAATCCAATGTTTTGTTTTGTTTTCCAGCATAGTAAATAAATGATGTTTGTATCTCTTGCAATATCGTGGACACTGGCAATAGACTTGCTCCATCTAGCTGTACATTTCCTCTTAACGGGTTTAAACTTTCCATTTCTTCATTAGTTGGCGATTGAAAAATATGTCGTGTGTAAACAAAAACACAGTTTACAGTTGGGTACAGACTGATTTTTGGTAAAATATTACGGGCCAAGTTATAATCTACCAAAAGAACTGTTGTTTCATTTTTTACGCTTTTTATATATTTAAGACATTCTGTGACATCTGTATTACATCCGAGAGTGGTTGAAACGCTCTTTCGAATGGTATGCAATACATTTTCTTTTTATTCAGTTTCTGTGAAGAAATAATCGTTTATGTGAGCACCGTTAGAAAATCAGTTAATTGCCAATTTTTGAACTATAAAATGATCTCCAGTCAATTTTCTACAATCTGGTTTAAATCAAAAACTAATCTCATTCACTTCGTATTTTATGTGATGCTTTTGCTGAAAGTTCTAAGTGTTAGACGCAAAAGCTCGGTTTTCAGAAAATCTGACTTTCAGAATGCGTTTCCGAAAACCACAAAAAAATAACTTGAAAATTTTTAAGGAGATCAGATCCATAGAATTTTCAAGGGCTATTTTTTCGTGTATTTGGTTTCGAGAAAAAGTGATTATTTTTGAACCACCAGTGAAAAGCCAGTGATATGTTTTAGTAAAATCTAACTAGAATATTATTAGTGATGTAGTTTTTGGATTGTTTCTCAATCAAGTTTTGAGAGAGAAAATTTTATTTGATACACGTTTTGTGGTTCAGACTATGCTTTCAAACAAAAAGCAAGTGAAGTCTCCAGAATAGTAGGAGCATAGAGAAACAGCGCTATACATTTATTGCACATCTTATGTATAACCCATTATGCCAGCGTTACATGCTTCTACACTTCGGAGGATATTCGTTACCATTTTTCGCCCGAAAAAACTGTACTCCTCTTTTCCTCTTTTTTTTTACAAACTGTCGGTGCCTTGCCTTTAGCAAACTTTGGATGG